CCAAACGAATGGCAGATGAACGCCACTCTGACATGCCTCAAGGCCAATCTTTGAAGCAGGAACAATTGGTCAGTGGACGGCAGAACCCGTGTACCTTCGAGGCAAACAAGACCATCGAAACGCGGAAGTGTTCTGCGCCTCGTAGCTATATCGGGAAACATTAAGGACCTCACGCTTTGCCGTCAGCGAAATGAAAATTGTCGCTCCTTCTGGGCCAGTCTCCGCGAGTACGCGCGTGTTTGAGTTACAAACGGCTTCGCGATTATTATCCGCAGAAATATTTCTTTAGACATTTCTACGTGTGGTAAAGTCTTATTGTTAGGACAAGCCTGTAAATGAGAAAAGGCAGCCCACTTAGCACAAAGAGTCATTCTTTACTAGCCGACTAATTTTTACTGCAGCTCTCCCAATATAGTGTTGTTTGATGCTCATGCTAAAACGTCATGATGAACACACTACCATTACAACGAAAAATTTCATCGACTTTGGCCGCACGCACACAGATACGTGTGCGCATGCACAAGCACACTAAAGACTGAAACGTGGGACACTATAAAATATGCATAGATAGAAATTTAATATACAGAAACTTGTAAGTTATAGTGTTTGCCATCGAAAGCTGATAACAAATTAAATGTGTTTAATTGTTTTTGAGGCTGGGAACGCTGCGTATTAGCTAAACAAATGTTTATAACACCAGCGTGTTAAAATAAATGGTCTAATTGCAAGAGGGGTCTGAGCTATCACACACCGAGATTTAAGAAAACGATTACCCCACTCAACAGAAGCCTTGCGCAACGGTTAGTTTTTTTTTTCTGAGAGCGTGAGCATCGACCACCATAAGAGACCCTTTCGCTACTTACAATAACGGGCCCTTGATGACATCCGGCTTCGTCCACCGATGTGCTTTGCACTGATGTGCCTTGAAAGCAACGGTGGAAAACGAAAGCTTTCGAAAATATCCCTGTGAATTTATACAGTTTCCTTAACTTATTTGGCAAAATATATTCGAATGAATGTTTTTGTGAGCTATATAAAAGTCAAGAAAGATTCCCTTGCACTGAACGCAAATTTCTTTTTTTGGAAAAACGACAGAGAGACTTTCTTTACCTTTAAAAAAAACTTCAAAACCTGCTTTCAGTATCGACAATAGGAGCTGGTTGATGAGGTGACCAGAAGGTTTTTGGGGTACAATGCTTGTAACTTTGAAACCGTCTTTAAGTGCCAATTTCTGGCGTTCCGGTCTCCGGTTCCCGGAACAGCCTCGCAGAAGGTCGTTACGCATGACTGTTCATCCGGCCCATGTCCGTGTTCTGGTTCATTTCGCCGGCGTGCTTTATTAAACGGCGCTGCCCCGCAACGGTGGTCGAGTGGCTAAGGTACTCGGCTGCTGACCCGCAGGTCACGGGATCGAATCCTGGTGGCGCTGGCTGCATTTCCAATGGAGGCGGAAATGTTGTAGGCCCGTGTGCTCAGATTTGGGCGCACGTTGAAGAACCACAGATGGTTGAAATTTCCGGAGCCCTCCACTACGGCGTCTCTCATAATCATATGGTGCTTTTTGACGTTAAACCCCACATATCAAGTATTACATGGCACCTGTCGACTGCACGGTCGACACTCGCGCGCTCATTAAAAAAAATTGAGTGGCTGTACATGTTGGTCATACTGTAAGAGAGAAGCTGCTTGTAGTTTTTTTTTCGTCTATTGCTTTTGATTATGAACCTACAATAATATTTCACTCGATAAGTACTGTTCTCATCATAAACGCATTTGTAAGCATTCCAAAAAAAACATTAGGCTGTTTATTTTCAGCGAAATACGAATTGTGTGGTAATTTTTACTGGCTGATGAAGAGTGCCTGTAAGTGAAACGAAGTGAGGAAACAGCAGTGGCAACCCGGCAGTAGAACATTTTATAGTGACTTTATTATAGTGACTTTGAGAGAGCCAGAAATAATTAATTAGGAGAAAAAAACGAAAAACCTAGAATACACATGCCGTGAATGTTTTTCTATTTCGTAAGCTTTATTTTCTGCCAGTAAACAATTCGGCCGATTCGGCAGACCCCATGACAAAGTTGTGAGAATCTTCTTCATGCGAATCAGTCACCGGCTAGCTTTGTATACGCCATTTCTTTTAGCTTTGAGTCGAGCGTTATGAGGAGCATCGTGGTGTTCCTGCGTATGTATTGGAAATGTACACAGGACAGTATCAGGCACGTCGACTATACAGATGCGTTTAAAGGGTACCTTATGGTCTGACGTAGCGTGAACACTAATGTTGTGACAGAGACGTCGATTTTATCGAAGTGCATGTTACGGCGCGATGATGTCAACATAATAAATAGTATTCGTTAGCGTACTCGGCCGAAGTCGAGCAACATTTGACTACAGCTTGTTGAGTCATGGAGGTACCAGATGGCCAAATCTTTAGCTATTGTGCTTGTGGGGCAGTTTTTTCTGCGTGAATTTGCCATACGAGTGTATTAAGTTTCAAAAAAGCTGAAGACAAGTGTATGCCCTCGAAGCATTTTTTTGAACTCCGTTATAAAATAGGTTGCTGTGAGGCAAAACAGTGGCCGCTGCGCACAAAACCTAAAGTTATGGCTGACTGTACATATATCTGGTGTTCATTAGACTGCTATAAAATTGGAGCCAATGCTGGAATCACAATCAATGTTCACTCTATGTCTGGCCCATAAGAATACATTAGGAATGGTTGTTTGTCTGTTTTAAAATTAGGTAGCCAGCACTGCAAGCACAGTTCACTTGAGGTCTCGGCTGCATGGAATATTTTTCCAAAGCAGTTTCCCAACCAAGCGCGGTTTTATGGCAGAATGATTGAATTCTACGCAAAATTTCTGGCTTCAGTTTTTGTTGATGTCCAGATTTTTTTTTTTTTTGCATTAGTTGTGTAAACGTGGTTCATGCAAGACTTTGTGGGCGCTCTCATAATTAAGTAACTAATTCCTGTTCTTGTCATTCTTGGTATATCGAGATGCATAACCATACAGTGGTGATTGTGGTATATGGATATGTGCCAGACGTCATGACAGAGAGCACTGCAAAAACTTTTCTGGTTATTCAGACAGCCACGTTAATCATACCGCCAATACCTACAATTATGATTTTGGTCGGTACTAATTTAAGGAGGCAAACACTAGAGCTCCCATGCGTAGACAGAAAGATTCATATCGATAGATAGATAGGCTGAAACATTCAAGTACTTTGGACTTGGAAACAAATGCTACGCATTTTATATTAGTTTACGCTTAGCATGCTGCCTGAGATGCTACACATATACAGGATTGAATCTGTCAATGGATCACTGACCATTTTACATAAATATTTAAATTGTGCTAATGCCATTATAAGAAACTTACTGAATGCTACTTTAATATGCTGGGGTTGATATATCCCTGCATGTGAGATGGTATTAGGAGAATGCGCAGCTTATCATACTAAACTCCGCATTTCTCGAACATAGACGTTGATAAAGACATTTCTCGAGGCTTACGTGCATACGCCAAATGCATCTGTGGGCATCGCCCCACCACGATGAAATAAATTGGTATGGGGTGATTGATAAGTTGATAACTGACTCGCAATAAATAATTGACGTTGCTGTTGCCTGAGTGATCGGTTCAAATGATGTCCGTCCTCCCACCCTCAACTCCCGTTTCCCCTGTTAGTCGATGAACCATGACAAATAGAGAAATGCCACTAAGGTATTTCGTATTTGCGCAGTTATTCTGCCCACTTACACCAGTTTACAGACCAATGATACATTGTGATGTCAGTCAAAAGGACTGCGTTTTATTTGTTGCAGGTAGGCGAGGAATTACCCAATCTGCATCCGTCATATACATGACGCGTATAGGGACCAGATTCCTGGACAACAAGTGCACTCAGGTAAACGAAATCGCTTATGCACATCATCATCAGCTTGAAGTAAAACGTGAAGGCATGTGCATTCGTTAGGGTCGGTTTGCTTCTAAGTGCAATATAACGAGCCCGGAAACCACCGTGTGAAACGTCCGCCCACAGACCGATGCGTGCTGCCCATGTGCTCTAAACAGGAGTGGGCAAACCTTCGCGACGTAGGCTACTATACATACCTAATTTGAATGAACTGCAGAGCTTGCTCCATGGTGTGGCTGTAGTAGGTATGTGCCATTTGTTACACCATTTTAGTGAACACTGCTACAGAAGCTGCCCGAACGACTCATACGACTCATGCTGCTGATGGACCCCTTGTGTATGGCGTTGTTGTTCACTTTGTTTCTTCTTTTGCACTAAAGTAAGCAAAGTATTGTTAAGTATGAATATATGGAGCCCAGGTTTTTTTTCACTAATCTGGTCAAAAAGCCAGTCAGGGTTATTTTGGTCTTTTTCTCCATAACTTTGTTCTCCGTCGGTGCGCTCACCACTCTGGCTCGCCAATATTGCAAGATTTTCGCTATTTATGCCAAAGATGCCGAGAATCGTGCTGTAACAACAAAGTTTTTCAAAGATTATTAACCGCAAATATATCCGCAGCATTTGGGGTAATTTATGAGTTATTCACCAGCATGTGATTGTGACTTTCACTCACTGAACACGAAAATTTCTTGATTTAGAAATTTGTATTCCGAAAGAACGTGAAAACGGTAACCAGTGATGATACTTCCTTCTTTTATTTCTTTCTTCAGGATGGAAATACCTTATACCAAGATATGTGGTCTGGCTTATTCAATTACTTTCTTAGATATGTTGTGTGCAAGGTCAAAATAGTGCACTTATCATACGTCATTCATTCGTATGTATAATTTTTCCTGGCCACTTTTTATTTTTAGTTTTTTGTAATAAAAAAGACACACGTCTTATTTTCGTGTATTGCTTCACGGTTACGTCTATATAATGGCAGAATAGCACAAATAGAAGGATTTTTTCAGAACACAAGACGGTGAAGACTAACCGACAAAAGTGGAACGAACAGGTGAATTTCAATCGCCCTTACCTTCTTCTTCGTTTCTCTTGTTACGCAGCCGCAGAGCAATTATGATGCACAGCGGCAGCAGAAAGAGCACCGTGACCGCAGAGATGAGCATCGTCAGCAGAGTCTCGTCGGAGAGCTGAAGTCTTGTTCCTGCGTTACGGAGACGAGCGCATCACGATTTGTTGCCAGCGAAGCCTTTTCACCCACACACACAAAAAAAACATCCCAGAGTTTTAGTTCTAATGGGAAAATTGGGGCAAGCTAACGTTGGCGAGTGCGCACCTGGTGTAGCCAAATATTTTTTTTTTGCTTTTTCTTTGTTCAATCTCTCAACTTTTGCAATTATCCTACCACACTGCTTCCTTTTCAAGTGCCTCTCCACGTGTTGAAACGCCGGAATACACAATTTACTACAAGCAACAGCAATGGCGATGCGTTGACAAGGAAGCAAGAATAAAATCAGCTGCGTGAAATGAGAAGTCACATCGATAGTCGCAATAAAACGTGAGATTTCCTAATCAGCAACGACTGAACACCAACTTTCATACGGTTGCAAAAACATGAAGTGTTGAAAAACGTCCCATGCAAATACGTGCGTGAACTGCACACCTTGGAGAGGCGGTTTGTGTACAACAACAAATTACGTCGTTCAGGTTGCATGAGAAGCCAGCGCTGCCCAGGTGACTCGCCTATTAAATGCGAATGCGCCAGTTCACGGTCCGGGCATAATTTTTGTCGATGCGGCCTCATCAATTGTGAGGCTCAAGGAACGGCTTTCAGCTCTCCCATAGTAGAGTACTGACTACTCTGAAGCGGTAACAGCTTTTTAAACACCTTCACGCAATACGCCACCCTGGCGAGCTGGGTATAAGAACCAGCTAGTAGTTCCTCAAGCAACACCGAGGTGGCATTCGGCCCAGTGACAGCTGTTTTGAGCGAGAACATCACAATGAAGTCGTTGGTATTCGCAGCTCTTGCACTATATATTACAGAAATTGCTTCGCAAAACGATTTTTTTTACGGTGCCTTCAACGGCTAGCGTGCATAATTGTTTTAAATGTAATGTAAGTGGCTAACGCTGTCTTTAAAATAAATGTTTAAATCTGATGGTGAATCGTGAAATGAATGTCTCAGGCAACCTTCATACGAAAGGCCAATGTATAGAGAAGAATAATGGTGTTGGCGGAAATTCAAACATGTTGCAGTGGTCGTGCATTAACGAAGTCGACTAGCCATCGTCTGCAGACCGTTCGCAAGCTTGCGGTCCACCGTCGTCTAAGCCTTATACTTTAAACAGACACCTTTGAACAACCTGGTGGTAGTTGACTTAGCGGTAGTTCCGTTGTTGACATGAAGTATGTAGTCAGAAATGGAACATGCGTAGGTCATCACTGCTTTTCTAAGAGTCATCGTCTTGTATGGAGCTGTTCACGTGACAGTTATATATAATACCTCATTAACACAATTGCGACGCGAAAATTTCATTTATCTTTTAAATAGTTGCTTCTTAGGCCGACGCTTTCAAACTTAGTACTGAAATTCTATTTTTTTCATCTATAAACGTAATTAATCCTAACAGCTCGCGTTACAATTGAGTAAATACGGTGTGTGTAATATTCGGCGCAATGTTTACGCTACCTAAGTTTTCATGTGCTTTCTTGAACATTTTAAACGCATGTTTTAAATAAAATACTTGCGATATTTTCTAGAGCACCAACTCATGTGCTTTGGCGGAAATCGACACCGGAGGGAGTCAACTATGCTTGCTGTCGATTATTTTTTTCCTGTCATTAAAAACTTTGTGGTTAAGGAATTTGTGAATACAGCAATAACGCCGGTCTTAAAGCTTCTTTTTTCTCGTTCGATCATCGCGAACGACGGCACGGTTCACCTTAGCATTTGTTTGTACGCCCAAATGTTTCGGGCCGTGCTCGACAGGGCGGCGCTCTATGTCCGCGGAAATTCTTGCGCTGGTTCCCCATAGTGTGCCAATCGTGTCCCGTTCAAATATAATATTTATTAGCAATATTAGTCAGGAATTCTTCCTAATGTTTAAAATAAGGTATATAAATACACTTTGGAAGCATGCGGCTGACGCCTGTGTTTCGCGAGGGACAGCGCTGTACCGCCTCGCCAAATGCGCGACTAATCTTCTTACCGGCGCCTTTCCGGCGCTGCGTCGCTACACATTTGGTGTGGGAAACAACGTGACGGAAGCCGCTGTACATGACACGTATCTGAAGCAGCGTAACAATCGGTAAGTCGATAAAGCGCTGGCATGTCACACACAAAACTCGCACATCTGCCAGACAAGATTCTGTTCGTGTCTGGAAAGCCAATTGATTGCTTGATATGTGGGGTTTAACGTCCCACAACCACCATATGATTATGAGAGATGCCTTAGTCGAGGGCTCCGGAAATTGCGACCACTTGGGGTTCTTTAACGGGCACCAATATCTGAGCACAAGAGCCTACAGTATTTTCACCTCCATAAAAAATGCAATTGCTGCAACCGGGATTTGATCCCGCGACCAGCGGGTCAGGAACCGACTACCTCAGCCACCGACCACCACGGCGGGGCTACCTAGAAACCAGTACATTTTTGCATCGACAATGACATCGTCGGCAATTTCGGTGAACGGTAAAGTAGAAAGTCTACGAAGAGGAATCACGAGGTGTCCGTGCTGAGCTCTTTCTATAGTCGCACGCCAGTGGAGCTGCAGGAACAGCCACCGCTGTGCAGTCGCGACAGTGGTGGCGGTTCTTCACAGTCTCCCCCACCTCTCACTAACAATGAGCGTTGCTCTTCCTTGTAAATAAAGGTAAACTCACGAAACGTTAAATATCGAGGTTGTCAAGCGATTCTTGAAGAACGGAAACATTTAACTGAAGATAAAAATGATGGCGTTTTGCAAAAGAAACGCGCACTTCTTTTATAGCAGTTAAGCGAGTTCATTTTAGCAGACACTTGGTAAGAGGAAGTTGCCAGTTAGAGATGCGTGTAAGGTAACCATATAATTCAGCTACGTTGATGCATATAAAATGACTCTATTATCAAAGCCTTCGTTCTTGCCCGAACCACTGATAAATCTATCGAAATAATACCATTATTATTGCATCAGAATGGCACGTGTTTGCTTTGGGAAATGTTCCTTCTCTATGTATTTATATGATTACAGGGCAACATCTCACAACATTGGCACAAACGTTGTTACATTAAGATTGCATGCAGAAAAAAACACACGTGACAACTGTGGCTTGCACGGGTCATGTGCGTCGAAAGAACGTTTTATTGAACGATAGCGCTCTCATATATACATTCTATGCCGAGGGGCGTTGCCCCCAATCTGGCGCACGTGTGCATGACTGTCACATCTCCCTTCTTAAACAAACAAAAAGACTAAAGTTCCGGCATGGGGTATCTTTGCGGTGGCCGGCGATTGCGTTCGCTTCTGCGTAGTTGTGGCTCGGCGGGGCCCACGTCAGCTTGATGTTCTTGTGTGGGGGGCACCAGTGGAGTGGGGGCCAGACGGAGATGTTCTCTGGTGCGCTGCAACTGGAGTCCATCTTCGGTCTCAACAATGTAGGCTCTCGGACTGTTGGCAGGCTTGATAACCGTAGCAGGGGACCAGGTCTTTGATGGTACGTTGTACACTGTGACGCGGGAGCCCTCAGGAAGTCCTGGTAGCGGCCTTGTACCCCTGTTGTAGTAGGAACGTTGTCTACTTCTGATGACGTGGAGCCGCCGTTGAACCTCCTCTGGCGGTATGGTCTGCGGTCGCAGGTGGGTTTCCGTGACTGGCAGCAGCGTCCTCGCATTTCGGCCCATGAGTCTCTGCATTGGAGATTTCAAATAGGAATCGCGAGGAGTGTTTCTCCATTCAAGCAATGCAGCACAAAAATCCACTGTGCCGTACCGATACCTCTTCAGCAATTTTTTGGCTTCTTGCACCGCACGTTCAGCCATTCCGTTTGATCGAGGGTGATAGGGGCTGGAGCGAACATGGTGCAAGCTAATCTTACCGACAAATTCACGAAAGTCCTGGCTGCTGAATGGCGGTCCATTGTCCGTGCATAGGCGCTGCGGGAAGCCATGAGTGGCGAATATGTCTGCGAAGGCAGCAATCACCTTGTCGGCTGTCGTCTTCACGGGCCTGATTTCGAAAAAGAAAGAATAAAAGTCAACAACCACCAAGTACTCGGTAGCATTGTGATAGCATATGTCGGCTCCCACAACTTCCCAGGGTAGGCTAGGAATTTCATGGTTCATCAATGGCAAGCGCAGATTTCGTGGCTTGTGCTTTTGGCAGGTCTCACAGCGTCGAGCAACTTCCTCTAGATCGCTGTTTATAGAAGGCCAAAAAAGTACAGCTCGAGCACGTGCTTTCATTTTTTCTGCTCCCCCATGCGCTGCATGAAGGCAGGCAAGAACTTCGCTGCGCATCTTGGCCGGAATGATGAGGCGGTTGCTCCTGAATACTAGGCCATCTTGCGTATGCAGCTCGTCGCGGAAGCTCCAGTAGCATCGTAGCTCGCTGCTGACGTCAGCTTTGCTCTCCGGCCACTGACTGCTTGCGTACTGTCGAAGTTTCACCATCACAGGGTCCTGGTCGGTCTCTTGTAGAACTTGGCTCAGCCGTCTGTCTGAAACCTGCAGGCAAGCAATGGTGTTCAACTGATAATTCAGGCACTGTTCTTTCAATATTGCTTGGCTCGGGGACCGTGATAAAGCGTCAGCAACAAACAGCTGTTTTCCAGGTGTGTATTTGACGACTATCGGGTACCTCTGCAAGCTGAGGCGCATGCGCTGAAGCCTTAGAGGACATTGGCATAACGGCTTCTTAAATATAATTTCTAGTGGCTTGTGATCGGATTCTACCACAGCTTCAGGCTGCCCGAAAAGATAGTCGCGGAATCTTTCACAGCCGTGGACAATTGCCAGCATCTCCTTTTCGATCTGGGCGTACCTTTGCTGTGTTTCTGTCAAGGAACGCGACGAATACGCTAGTGGATGCCCGTCCTGTATGATCACTGCGCCAACTCCGTTCTGACTGGCATCTACCGACAGCCTGATTGGTTTCCCCTTCTCGTAGTAGCTTAGTACAGGGGCTGTCGCAAGCGCTTCCTTCAGAGCCTTGAAGCTTGCATCTTGGCGGTCCTCCCAAAGCCACGCGACATTCTTCTTTAGTAATTCTCGAAGTGGTGCTGTTAGGTCCGACATATTCGGAATAAAGCGAGAGACAAAATTTACCATGCCCAGGAACGTCTGCAGCTCTTTCTGGTTGCTTGGCGTCTGGACTTGCAAGATGTCTTCTAGCCGCTGTGGATCCAGGCTCAGGCCGTCGCGCGTCAAAATGTGTCCCAAGTACCGGACGGACTCCTGTAAAAAACGGCATTTCTTTCTGTTCAATTTCAGTTTGTACTCTCGGCAACGTCGTAGGACGTGTTCAAGGTTTGCATCATGCTGCTCTCTTGTTCGGCCCCACACTAGAATGTCGTCCATGACAACCGCTACGCCTTCGAGGCCTTCTAGCACGCGGTGCATGGCCCGCTGAAATATTTCCGGCGCCGACGAGATTCCAAAGGGCATGCGCAAAAATCTATAACGGCCGTATGGAGTGCACATAGTGCAAATCTTAGAGCTTTCTTTATCCAGCTTGATTTGCCAGAAACCGGAGGCTGCGTCCAAAGTTGTAAAGTACTGGGCCCCACTTATCGAAGGTGCTATGTCTTCCAATGTTGGCATTGGATAGTGCTCGCGAAGCAGAGCTTTGTTTAGGTCGGAAGGATCAAGACAAATGCGTACCTTCTCTCCTTTTGTAACAACGACCATGTTGCTGGCCCACTCTGTCGGCTCGGTCACTTTCACGATGACTCCAGCAGTCTCCATGCGGTCGAGCTCAGCTTTCACCTTGCTTTGCAATGCTATTGGAATCCGCCGTGCTGGTTTCACTACTCCCTGGGACCCGGGCTTGAGCTTTAGATGGTAGACAATACCCTCCAGTTGACCCAGACCTTCAAACACGTCTTCGTAAGGCTTGGCAGTGCCGTAAAGCTCTAGTTGGTCGACAGAGCAGACACGTTGGAGCAAGCCAAGCTCTTCGGCAACTGTACCGCTCAAGGTCACGGCGATTTCGTCATCCACGACGAAAAACTCTGTCAGAATCTTGCTTTCTCTCGTTGCCACTTCAAGACGAACTTGTTTCGTCGCTTTTTTCTGGAAGCCAAAAAATGTGTTTAAAACAACGTTGCAATCAAGTGGCTGCTTGTTTGTTATTTTCTGCAGCTGGCTGCGTGCTATAACCGAGCATGTTGCGCCTGTGTCTAACTTGCAAAAAATAGGCTTTCCTTCTATCTCAACGGTAGCCGTCCAGCGGTCGTCTTTCCCACGGGCATGCGATAGCGTTTCTAACCAGAAATCGCCTTCTTCTGCATCGACAGATGCTACTGCGTGCTCTTTCGAATGAAATCTTTTTTGCATCTTCTTGCAGGCTATCGCAAAGTGATTTCTGCCACCGCATTTCCTGCACGTGCGTCCCTTTGCTGGGCACACACGGTCGGTCTGATGAACCTTTGCGCACTTTGTACAACGCTGACCTTTCGCTTCAGATAGCGCGTTCATCTCGGCTGCGTAATCGCTTTTCGGGCGCGCCTGTATCTCTTCACACTGTTCTTTGCCATGTTCACGAGAGCGACACATTTCTACGGTCTTCGTGAAAGAAGCATTTTCGGAGATTAGCTTTTCTTGCAGCTTTTTATCTCTAATTCCGAGAATAATACGGCTTCTCAGCATACGCTCTTCAAGCTGCCCAAACTCGCAGCTTTTTGCTAGCACTCTGAGGTCTGTCAGCCAGTCATTGAAACTTTCACCGTCCTTTTGTCGCACTTTCCAAAGCGGAACTCATGGTAGGCTAAGTTTAGAGCTGGTTTGTAAAATGCCTCAAACTTCATTTTCAGTACTTCTACGTCCGACTTCTCTTCGTCAGTTGCAAAATCAAGAGTGCTGTACGTCTTGCGTGCGTCCTCTCCGATAATCATAAGAAAGGTGGCTGCCTGTACCTCTTTCGGTTGCTGGTTCAGGTATGTTGCCGTTGCGAAGAGCTCGAACTCTTGCCGCCATGTCTTCCAGCTTCGCCATACGTCTCCTGTGGTGTCCAGGGCTTTCGGCGGTGGCAATAGCGTGGTGACTGGTCCGCTGGCCTGCTGGCGCTGTTCCCCGTTCTGCATGCTTGTAGCTGGTTGGGACCTCCGAGCCGCCCCTGTTGGCTTGCTACGCGTCCGCTGTTCGTTCGCCGGCTGCGTGTATCGGCTGCGGTCCGACCACTTCTGACACCATGTGGCTTGCACGGGTCATGTGCGTCGAAAGAACGTTTTATTGAACGATAGCGCTCTCATATATACATTCTATGCCGAGGGGCGTTGCCCCCAATCTGGCGCACGTGTGCATGACTGTCACAACAACCATTGATAGTATAAGGAACGTCAACTATTCCAGGCAGATGTTAGAAACCTTAACAGAACACACCTTGTTTTAGTAGGAGTAAGTGCCATGAGATTTAACGAGTTAATTAACGCTATCTCGCACTCGTCATTGCATTGCTGTGATTTATATAAACCGCAATGCAGACAATTGATCTTGCGAAATTTCTTCGTGGAACAGCCCACAACACCTGCCGTTTTTATGTCCAAGCTAGCCGGATATGAATAAATTTAACTTGTTCCATAGGGCGCCAAATTATAAACTTGCGGATAGCAAGTGTTGTATCCCTCTCGTCCACCCTCCAACCATCCACAAAGAGATACACGTACACACAGATTTGCTTCTCCGTCTTCAATAAAAAATAAAGATGGCGACAGTGACCGGACATGACTTGACTGCGCAAAACCTTGACGCTGTTACCCCGTAAGTCATTTTTTTCTTTCATTCTCTTGAAAATAGGTGTGCTTTCGTAACCAATTTTTACACTAACGCCACGTGGCACTGCGATTCGCGACGCTACCACCCTGTAGAAACAATAAATGATGCTCACAAAGAAAGTAGACTCCCTTCTAGCTTTCAGTCCGGGAATATTTCATTCCGTCGCCGGGTCATATTTCACTGGCGCTCGCGCATTTATACGAGCTAAGCGCCTTTTGTCAGGCGAATACCAGAAATCGATGTGATACGCCGTTGCGTTTGAGGGAAAAAGTGGAGAAACGAAATTGGATAAGCGAGTTGAGTATTGATAGGAGCTGACCCCTGCTGAATGCAATTGCATAGGTGTATTGACTTCTTTTTTATTCTTCTAAACTAGATTCTAGAGACGTCAGTAAAGGTTTCGAGGGTCGAAAGCCTGGAACGCAGCATGCTACGAATTCTTAAAGAGGTTGCGTCGCCGAGCAGTTACGATATATCATAACGCCGGAGTCATAAATTGTACTCTTCTCTTCGGACGTTTCCATAAGCGGGACACTCCAAATCGGAAGCGTTCGATGTCAGGGGGCTGTTACGCAAATGTCAAGACAGTGCCATTTAAAGTAAATAAAAATAAGTAAATAAGTATCCTGCCATACGGAGCCGCATGCGCACAACAGCAAATTTGGGCACTGCGTCTTACAAAGGATTGCATAGTAATGAACAGCTCGTATATTATAGTTATAAATAAAGCGACCTTAGAAATCCAATCGCCGACATAGAAATATAAGGACTACTACATTGCTATTTTGTTATAGCGCATGAAAGTTATACCTTCTCTAAGTGTCAATTTTTTGCGGAGAACTGAATTCTACAAACCAATGTCGATGTGGGAAGTGTGATTACAGCAGAGGGAATAACTTAAGCATAAATCCTATGCGCTGGAACTTTGCTTCCGGCGTTTTATGAGAATATTGTATACTTACGTGTTGACGTCACTGTGGATATACCTGCCAGAATTCGAATTTAGTATTAGAAATATGTCTGAAATCTGCTAACACATGCATGATACCACACTTGAAACGCGTTAAGGGTCGCGCAGAAAAGTGGTCAACACTTGAAATTTTTTTACCCATTTGCATGTTTAGAATCAGCGGATTACAGCTGCCTATGAAAGAAGACACTTCACAACGTACAGACTATCAAATTATTGCTCGACTATTGCATTGTTTTTCTTTTCGTACTGGCAGCTCTGTGACATCATTTTCATGAGCCTTCACACTAACGTTATGTTTCGTTGCTTAACAGAGCAGAAGTTTTGTTTTTGTGGAACACAAGTCTTGTTTACGATTTCCGACCGATTGTGATCTTGTACACGATGGCGTTCCATTTCGCGAGAGTATCCGAGCGTCTTATGGCCAGTCACTCAACTAGCGCACACGTATGCATTGCTTACAAACGCGCAAACATAAAAAAACACAGAAAACATATTGTCAGACCGAATGCGTATGGCATACAATATCCGCCAACATTGGTACATCGAGAACCTTTGGTATGCCGGCCGACTACTTTGGTCATTCGGGGATCGGGAATTTAGGACAGCGGCGCCATAAAAGCGACAGAGACAAGCCACCCGTGTGCCAAGATGCCGTGTTATTGCAACGGGACTGCGCCAGCAGCGGGGTGACCACCGCTTTGACTCCGTCCACTCACCCTGGGGCACGACGAGAAAGACGCAGGGCTGCTCCTGGCGTCCCACCTCGTTGCGGGCCCAGCACAACAGCGTACCATAATCGTCGGTGGAATGCGCCGCGTAGCGCGCCGTGCTCTGGGTGCCGTTCCAGTGAACCGAATCTAGCTGGTGGCTCTGCAGGCTCGAGTTGAAGAGCCAGAGGAAAGTGACAGCCGCCGGGTGGGCCTCCACCTCGCAGGACACGTCCACTTCCTCGGCGCGTGCCGCCGTGTACACCACGCGCTGGTGGGATCGGCACACCGGAGAGTCTGCGAGCCGCGGTGTCAGTTAGCACATTTTACGCCGGGACAGCAGAGCCGGAACAACAGTTAGCTGTCACTGTCTACGGATTGTTGCGGAGAGAAGTGAGGAAGACAAGTAATGAACAACAAACAGTTTGCATACAAACGCCTTGAAAATAACCATAGCGCTAGACGTATAGCACAAAACTGCCAAATACAGAAGAAAAATGAGCCTTCAATTGCATTCAAAATTATTCACTGCAGTCCGGGCATTTTTCCGATTTCCAGCATTTTCCCACAGCGATTCTATAACCTGCATGCGAGTTAACTATACAAGATTAGAGTTCTGGGTGTGACGCCTCATAGTTTAAAGGTGCATTTCTAGCTAGATTGACATGAACGGGTTGACTAAAATTCAAAAAAGAAAATATATCTGCTTTGTCCAGCTAGGGGACTTGTCAGACTAGTTCACTACATAATCACATTGTCCTCATTTACAACTTCCTCACTGTTCCTGTCTGTACGCTCACTGACTGTTCACTGTGCGTTAACCGGCTTACTCTAGCAGGAAACATCTAACCAAGTGTTCTAGTATGCTGTTTTAATTTTTGCAAGTAAGAATAAGTAAGGTAATACGTGGAATATGCTTTGGTTTACGATGTAGTCGTCATCATACTAATAATTTTTTCCGCACTTTAAAAAGCATCATTTTTTACTTCTTTTTAGCGCTTCTGCTATTTACCTACATGGCAATGTGACTCCCTACCGTCTCCCCAAAAGGAGTAGAGAAAGACTATTGAAACACCTTCGATCAACGAAGAGTGATAGGTACAGTCGGTGTACATGCGCCCCTCACCATGCATGTATTAGCAAGCTCCGTATATGTGCGTGGGCCACTGGTGTAGCCACAGTGGCGTGTGTGGTGTTCGCACAGCCCTCATTCCTTGCTCACGACCCCCAATACTTCTGTAAATGTCACAATTTGCAAGTATGTATGTGCGCGCACACATACACAGGAAATAACTTGCTCTCTTCAAGTTAACAGATTGCACGGAAAAAAAGACACCTTCACAAGCAAGGGTACAGGGACGAGCACTTAACCTTGTTCCCTCGCTTGTCAAAGTGTCTCTTTCACGCGTGACCTTTTCATTTCAACCATGTCGATACACTAGGTCATGAAACAGTTTCTATAGCTCGCTCCCATCTACTTAAAATGACTTCTGTGATACGCCCCTGCACGGAGCATTAAATAACCATTGAATCCACAACCTTCTCTGGCCTCGCATTAGGCCGCCACTACCGCGGGGTTTTTCATATTTTTAGTTGTTGCAGTTACTTTCGATGATATTGTAGTCTCCTAAGCTCTTAGTTTATCGGCTTAGCTGGTTAAATGAAGTACCACAACGTACGTTTGACGTGTACGTTGACCTCAGGGCTTGAACCCACGCCTTCGGAGTTGGCTCCCAGGCAGGAGTAGTTTCCCGAGTGGCTCGTGCCGATGTTGCGAATGACGAGGTTGTTGCGCGTGGGTCGCTTCCCGCCGAGCATCTCCGCGGCCGTGGGAGCGGGCCGCAACTCTCGGCCGTTGAACATCCACTGCACCTCTTCGACCGCAGGGTTGGCGTCGATCACACACTGAAAGGTTACGTCCGTCCTTTCACGGATGTTGTCGAACGACATCTGGTGACCGAGGCGGAGCTGCACTCTCGGTTTGTCTGCAATAAAGAGAGGCAGCAAGGCTCCACTGCATTACCTTGCAGTAAACAATAGTCCAGAACTATGAGAGTCGATTCTAGTTAAGAGATACTTTGTACCAAGCACACTGACTCTAAACTCGCTTGTACTTGCTGCCGAATGCTTTGTACTCGTGCTAAGCGGTTCAGCAAATGCACTTGGAAATATGTGACGTAAGTGTGATGGTTGAGAGATTTAACTCCAAAACCACGATGTGATTATGACAGACGCCGTGCTGGAAGACTCCTGAAATTTAGACCTTCTGGTGTTCTGAAATGTGCGCCTAAATCTAGGTACAAGTGTCTCAAGCACTTTCGCCTCCATCGAAACTGTAGCCTCGACGGCAGGGATTCGACCCGCGACCTGCGGGCCAGCACTCAAGCGCCTTAACGATGACACCATCGTGGCGGGTAAAAATATACTGTAAGAGCCCCTGCATATGATTACTGTGGTTGCTGCTCACCACAATGTCGCGGGCTCAATCCTGGCCGTGGATTTTGAATTCTAATTCAGGAGAAATTCTCAAGGCCTATTTGTGTGCGCCAGTGTACGCTGAAATTATCCCGAGCTCTTAATTACGGCGCCTGACGTAGCCTGAGCCCCGTCGTGGCGTTAAACCCGATAAGTCAACCAATGGATTACTAGAGCGCTTCGTTAAGGTTTTATAACCATATACTGACTCGGAAGAACACACACTAAAAACGACGTACAAGAAAAGTACAATTACTATAAGTTCGGTGAAGAGAACGTCTAACCAACTCGCATAATTATTACTTCTTTCCAAAGCGTGGCATATTTGGTGTAATGGTGTTCTGACGTGAATAAGGTCACTTAACTATTCTATTCTCCGCTCTGGCATGGGCGTTCTCGTGGACGCATAATCCATTATTACTTGTAATTATGTTGTACTCATAGTAGCTCACATCATGAGTTATTCAATGCTGGAGAAATTTTAAGCGGGGTGTATAAATCACTATGATTAGTATGGGAAAAGGTTGAACACAATGAATGAAAAAAAGTGAAACAAGTGAATGACTCATTCGTACGTATACTTAGTGCCTCACTTTATTTTATTTTTTTTAGCGAAAGCTCACTTTACTGAAGTTGTGGAATAGAAAAAGAATTCGTACTATTATTTTCAGTCTTATGCTGCTGCGCGTGCCTTAAGATAGCTTACCACTTGATGGTAGCTTTATGTTTTATTTACTTCCGTCTACTTCGGCATTCAAAAACGGATGGCCTTTCCACGAAGCCATTCCCCATCTCTATTGAACCTACGTATGCAACAATGAAATAGTTTACAAAATGCGAAAGAGTGCGAGAGAGCGTAATTTTAATGAGTACTGAGGATACTGGTCATGCAAGATGTCTGCCGTGCTTTACATTCAGGAAGTTCGGGGAAAAAAAACTGGTGAATCGAATGCTTTAGGAAGTAAAAGCTTAGTGCGCTTGAATATTCCTCCTCGGTGACGAAGCGTGTTTTTGACAGAACGTCTCTGTTGCGATTCTTAGAAAAGCCAGAAAAAACTTCCGCGTTCACGAAATTCTGCCGGTCTCACAAATCGCTGCACAGCGACCTAGTATGTACGCCCTGTGATAACTTCCGTCTTTGAACAGCGCGTCTCTGAACATTTTGAGCTGCAGTACATAGAGCCACTTCTGATATTTTGTCCGAGGAACGCGAGTACCGTTAGTATACGGGTTCATTAGTTGTTCTTCAACGTGGAACACAGAACGAAATACACGTTCCGCTTTTGTATGCTTCTCAGTTGCTCAGTAAAAAATTGTGTATATTTATCACTATAATTATGTGATGGTTATTAGTATAACCATAATTCTTACTTTGTGTATTATGTGAAGTAGCGAACGAGAACTGAAGCTCGTGTTTCCTAAAGATGTATCAATGAACTATATACTGAAAAATTTTATCACAAAGGCGCAATAATAGCCTTATCATGAAAAGTCATCCTGAAGTAGGGAGATTATAGAGGGCAAAATGACAAAATATTCCAGCTATATCACAACCAAGTGAGAAGTAATGCACTTCCGCGTAAAAAATAGCTACACCTTGTTGTTAAAAAAGCAGTATGCACTAAGCGAACACGTACTTTATTGACTCACGGAATAATTTCGGTGGCCGTGCTAATGACAGCTGCCTTGAAGAAAATTCTGCGTATTCAGTTCAGTATGAGGTCTGTTCTATAAAAAAAGAATTACATGAGATTTCCCAGTGACTAAACATTTTTATGCGGGCAGAAATATATGGGTGAACCTGAAAACCGAGTGAGAGAAAAATATTGGTTTTTTTTATGTGGCGTAGTACATAATCCGGTCAGACAGTTAATAATGTCAACCTCACAAATGACTGATGTTACTCTATACGTCGGCCATAAAAAGAAGAGAAGTGAATGTTTCTTGTTTTAGTCTATGACTACAAATATGCGATTCATTCTTTATGATACACAAAAAGGATGTATATGTGGATGTTGCCAGTTTGATAGCCTAGACCGCAATGTAAGGTACAAACATCACACCATGGCTTGGCCATATCTCATATTCATAGGTACGCAGATGTCACTTTGGTGCAACACTCATAAAAAAATGTGGAAAAGACTTTCGCTACGTCAACTCAAATTGATCTATCTTTTCTCTTTTTTCGCTGTAAAGAAGCACAGCTTTAAAAATGTGTACGTTGCTTTGACCCAACAATGACATGGGATAGCTCTATTGCCAAAAAAATGCGCTTTTGTTCCGCTGAACGATACAACTTCGTTGAGCAACAGCACAGAGCAAAGTGTGAAATACTGTCTCTAAGTTCCGTGCGCGTCATTTGAAAGCTTGCTATTTAAGCAAACTTAATTAGGTGTAAACCAGCCAATAATCCTTTTTTTTCTCCTAATGTAACATTTGTCCGGCCCCACCCGGTGGGCTAGTGCTTATGACACTCGACTGCTAACCTCAAGATCGCGGGATCAAATCCCGGCTGCGGCGGCTGTATTTTCGATGGAGGCGAAAATGTGCGAAGCCCGTGTACGAAAATCTAGCTACATGGTAAAGAACCCCTTATGGTCGAAATTTCCAGCACCCTCCACTATGGTTTCTCTCATAAACATGTCGGGGTTTTGGGATCTTACACCAAGAACAATAATAATGGTAATATTATTATTGTTAGGATTTCCTTATATTTGGAAGATCGCCTTATTTTTTTTCTTTTCCTTACCGTTCATTCCTTACCCACCAGGACTCGTGTGTAGGGTCTTTTAACATAAGCGTTATGCACCAGCGCGGCTTCTAACAAGAGAACCTGTGTTCAATCCCATAAAATACTAGGTATTTCAGATGCTAAGTAGAGCAGCTTTTGCTTGGAGTTGTGTCGGCATTTTGCTAAGGCGTCCGTTCCCCCCCCCCCCCAGCACATGTGCCAACAATAGCTCTCCTCCTCTTCCTGTGAAGGTGGCGTTGACGCTGCTTCCGCTTTCTTTATCTTCTCCCATATTCTTTATCCGCCATGGGTGGGCGCTGATATATACAGTCCAACCCCGCTACAACAAAACTGGTAGGGTGAGGAAAAAATTTCGCTGAAGTGAGAGTTTCATTGTAGTGAAATCGAAAAATATATGGCTCACTTGAGCTTCCAAAACAAAGAGAATTTTATCCCCTAAAGTTCAAAGTGTCAGCTGCTTTCCTTTCTTTCCGAGAAACGTCCTAACGTGATTCTCTCACATGCATAGCGACTCCATGTAACAGAACATGGCGAAATAACTGTGACAACAGCTTTAGTAAACAGAACAGTCGCACTAACATGCTAACACCAGCAGCTGTTCAGCATTAAAATACGGCAAAGCCGAGATGGAAGCGCGGTATCGCGTAGTGGGGACTTATGCCTTATACTATATATGCTAATGTTATTATCCACTAGTCACAGCTGGCTGATTTTGTTGGAGACAGATGAACACCCGCTCTCACTAGTGACTACACTGGCCAAGTGCGAAAATAACTTAAGTCACTGGCAATGATAAAGGCAATTTTCCGCGATTGCACTCAGCAGCAGCATGCACGAAACCCAATGAACTGAGAGACTGCGCATCAGCTTCAGATGGTTTGTGGCTCTGAAGCAGATTGGTGGCAAAACTAGGGTAGTCTCATTGCCATTGCTGCCGAGCAATGGTGTCCCGCATGCTCAGTAAACAGCTGCAGTTTTAGCTGGTTCCAACGCACATTTTAGACTTCGAAGACAAGATCCTGTATTCTAAAGATAAATCAAAATATTTGAGACTGTGATGACAAGGAATATCTGAGCGTAGTATTGCGTCCTTCAATTTTATTGAAGCCGAATGCCAGAAGCAAAAGTATTAGTTGTGGCGAGAATATTTATGCATTGACTCCAATGAACCGCTCACGGGGAACCGAAAACTTTTCTTTGCAGCGGAAATTTTCTTCGGGTGGCGTTCGTTGTAGCGGGATTTGATTGTTGTTCGGCACGCCGCTTACTCCCGTTGCACTAGCCTTCGAAACGGCGCTATGGACGTCAACATTGGCGCCAGTCATAGCTACGTTGGTAACGTAAGTCCCGGCAGCAATGCAACCTGGGAAAGCATTAGCCTAAGCAGCGCCACGGAACAGAAGAGGGGTCGGGAAGCAGAACACAAACGGCAACGCCTGCAAGCGGTCCCACAACTTTGAGCTCACGAAAATAAAAGTAAACGGCAACGCCGACTAGGGAATGTCGAAGCAATGAAGTAACGCGAAGCCAAAGCGCAACGAAACCATCGAGCCAAGGACTCCGAGACTGCGAGGCAACGCGAAGCCAGAATGCAATGCAGCGGAAAGGCCAAGCCAAAATCACGAAGCGACTAGGCAATGCTAGTCTGCGGCCAGGACATCGAGGTGTTCGGCACAACTACAATGATCGGGAACTGACTGAGCGACCACAACACTTAAGCGGGGCTTTCTCGAAGAGCACTACTGATGCGGCTACAGCGTGTGACATTGACTTTGGTTCAACCATATCCTGAGAAACGTCCGTAGGACGCATGCACTCTAAAAAAAGAGTGAGCAAAAGAGGTGTCTTTTTGTCCCACAACAATAATCGTCATCTATATTGCGTTCCATCCTTGCGCTATCGCCCCGCCCCCGGTATATACCGGTCACGATCGACATGCCCATTATCAGGGTTACATTGCATTCTCGATAGGAAAGTGGCCAGCGCCGAGTTTTTAAGAAAGGAAGCGCATGCAAGCTTGACGCTTATTGTTGTGGGACAAAAAGACACCCTTTTTACTCGATATTTTTTAGAGTGTAACGAGCAAGATCCTAACTCCACTGTTGCCGTGCTGCAAAGAGCCCCTATCATATGCAGAATAAGTGTGGAAAGACACTTCAAGAAGGCTATGGTGCAATACAGTGAACACCAAAGAAACGCACCCTTTATACTCGTGGGCTATTTCTCCCCAGAGTTATGATTACGGATTCGCTAGTCTAACACATGATACTCGTGTACAAGATACGCTGTTTATCGTACGACCACAGACGTCCAAAAACAATTCGGACTCGCTCGGTAGATTTCGTGCGACCGGTTGTGCCCCAGCGATCTCCGACGACAGCGTAGCTCTGGCCGACAGGGCTCCACTTACGCCATCTCCTGCTGCTGAAATGATATCTTGCTGAGTGGTGCCCCATCCTCGGACTCCTGCGACCGTGTCCATCTTTCCCGTCTTCTCTTTACTTCCGTCGCTCGCTGTCCCTGCGCCTCTCTCGCTCCTTCCTCTCTCTCTTTATGTACCTTTTAATCCTATCTTGTTAATCCCTCCTTACCCCCATCCCTTGTCAGCTACTGTTGAGGTGTCGCACTCTGATGCAGATATTTACGGGGCTCACTTTTCTCTCCTTTTTCCTTTAAGAGTCACATTAAAGTAACATAAAACCATTCGACAATTATGTATATATTTCGTCTTCGTCATGTTTACACTAAAGCTTTTGCAACATCCCATGGAACAGCATCAAATATTGAAGCTACCTTTCACCGACCACAAGGCTGACGCTCGGAATTAGGCACGATCTCTAAAATGAACGCGCAGCAACAACACGCACCCTAGGAATTACGTATACGGCGTCTAAAACTAAGACGCAACAAGAACACGTACAACCGCCTCTCGCACTTTGTTTCTCATAACAACATAACTACACCATCTCCCACTAAATATAACCACGTGGGATGCGAAGCAGTAATGGGTGTTCACTTAGCGGAGCGATGAATACACACACGGTAATACGCACAATAGATGGGGTGGGGTGACACATAAGCGGCACACAGCATATACACCTCTCAACACATAAATGAAACATAGACAGAAACATATAAATGTAATAACAATGGAAATACAAATGAACACCATTGCTGCTTGGTATCGTCGAATGGTTCCCTTAACTATGAGATTATTTATTTTTTAGAAATGTTATTTTATGACGCGCATGGGTTACGCCCCTCATGACGCTTAGGACGGGGATGATGACACCACTCAAGGCAGGAACGAGTGCCTGAAGGCTTGGCCATTCGTACGCGTTGCAACACGTGACTCGGCGTTGTGTCCTCTCCAAATAGAGACGGCGCGCCGCTTAGTAGCCACGTGCTGACGTGCTGCAACGCTTACACACGGTCTAGTCTTAGAAGCTATGGTCTAAAAAAAAGTTCTAAGACTCCACAGGGATCAGTATATTCTCGTCGGAGACTGCTGAGACCCAAAAGAGAGTTAACCCGTCTCCCTAAAGAGAGTCAAACGCATTGTAAATCAGGACTAACCAAAAATTTTAAATACCGACATAAACTACTCTTTTATATTGTACCGCGCGTCCCGCGAATGCCACATTTTTGCTCTGCGTGCTATGCCGCTGCTTCCCATGCTCACAATGCACGCTGAGTTCCCACTGGTCCTCGCGTGCACTGTTCCTCAAGCGCGGGTTCTGCGCGCGGCACACCAGCATCTGGCCGTTGTCGGAGCGTTGAGGCGAGAACGCCACCACGCTGGTGGTCAAATTCCCGTCTTGCGACACGTGCACGAAGGTCTGGTTCAGCTGCTCGCTGCTCTTCCACCAGGTGATCTCCGGCGGCGGCCGCGAGCCCCAAACCTCGCACAGGATCTCGGCTGTGAGGCCCGACGAGATGGGAGCCTCGCTCTTGCGGATCTGCACTGAGGTTGGCGCCACTGGAAAAAAAACAAGGTAAATAAAAAAGGGTTGAAAAGCATTCAACTGCGGGAAGCTGGCTTAACAGCCAAGCTGTTCAGCGCCCGAACCCGAAGTGACGCAATTTTTGACAAAGGTATGAACTCCGTTATCCTTCTTTCAGGCGTTGGCCGACGTGTCAAGGGTTCCTTTAAGAGGGCGCATCGAATTGTTTTGTAGTTGGAATTCTAGACGTCAACTCTCTGTCTTGCTAGGCATGGTTTTATTTCATTTCTAAAGGAGTAGCGATATCTTTCATAGATTGTGTTTTCTTAAAAATTTTAATTTTCAATTTCAGCAAAACGCACAAACACGATTCAGATATATTGGCGTTTTTTAATCCTAGATGTGTGGCCCAGTGCTTACCGGAGCCCTGAAACACTTTTCAAGTAACACTGGAATGAATTCAATGCAAGAGCTTATTGCCTCACGAATTCGACACCGCAAAAATTTTAAGAATCTGTTCAGTGCAAGTGCAGTTACAAAGGTTTTTTGCATGCTGCAATTGCATTCTCTCATGTGTCGTTCCGACGAAAGCGCTGGAAGCTACACAGGGAAAGTTGGCAGGGCTACAGAAAAACGTCACGCAAGCCTCGCGACCTTGAGCACTTTTTTTTTTTCTTACAATGCGCCGCTTCTTCAGTGTGATCGCACATGCATATTTTTTGCAAAGCTTGGTGCACAAGTAAGCGCCTTGCTTTTAGTTGTCATACCCGTGGTTCTCATACACTGGCACTTGTCACAACATATAGTCCAGTAATATGCCCACATATGCCACTGTAATAAGGCTAGCCCTATACCTCCAACAACCGAGACAGAAAGATAAACTTGTTTTTTATTAGTTATTTCAGGTATAGTAGATAATACTTGTATCCCAGCCCCCCTCTTCCCCTTTTGAATTAACCTTTATAGATGACCGTAGTGTCCAGTTGGCTTCCCTTTTCTAGTTTCACGAATCGTGCAACTCACTAACAGCTGATGAGAGTGTTGCTCTGCGGAGGCAAGACGGCAGCCTCTAAGCCTAGTGTGTACTTGTACGTGATGTTTGGCAGCTTCGGTGTCACTTCGCACAACGCACCTATCTTGCCATATCTGCTGAGGTACATTCTTTATAACGTGACTAAAAACGTTGGAAAGTGTTTGCTTGTAGGCGGCGCCACTGTCGAGCTCATTTCCTCTTTAGGTTGAGGCGAAGGGATGATGTAATTCACCCGACTTGCGTTTGGTATTCCTCTAGATGTCTTACTGGGCTTTTTAGTCCGTGGCTGGGCTTCTGATGTCTCTGTTGTTGCTGTTTTGCTGTGGAGAGGTTGACGTCTGTATTACCTTAACTAAGGCATATCGTCTTAAAGAAGAAAAAAAATTGGGTGTCCCTTAGGCTTCACCTTCAAGAACTGAACACGATCGTGAAATCCGTCCCAATGTCTCACAATGTCTGAGAGCTGGCACACAAACACACACACACACACACACGTGTGCCCTTGAAGGGTGCATACAGGTTTTTGATCTAAAGCAAGAGTCGCGTGTCCTTCAAGATACATGCCGCACGCTCGCTATCTCAGAAGCCATTGTTTTACAATGCCTCACAGATGGCAGCACATTATCTAGCGTTTGCTGTTTGCTTGATAAACGCCTCTGGAAAGACATGATATGTTTTCCGCTAGATGGTCAGAGTTGTCCATTTTTAGAGTTGTTTGAAAGTTCTTGTGTGTTTTTAGCGGCGATGGCTACACTATCCCGGTATTTTCGAAGTAGTTTTATGGCCTCCTAAATATGCCTTGAAATCTCTGAATAGGCTCGTTTCCGTCATGACAACTGTCGAAAAAAATGCGTTAAGGAGACTCCTTCCACTACATAAAATTTTAAAATTTATGTAATGTTTTTTTTTTTTCACGAAGCAGCTGCAAGTAACATTAGAACATTGACGTAGGACACCTGCTTTCCGCACGAACGGCCCTGGTTCAATCCTCAAAAGGACGAATAGTTTTATTTAGTTGGCTTCTTTCTCGATTTCTCGCTCACCGACAATTTTTCGCTCAGAACCAACGGTACCAACGCCGACGGTGGAATTTCCGCGACCCGAGCTCTCTAACGCTTTCAAGTTAAAAAGCATAACAACGCATTGAACCACGGTGAAGTATCATGGCATTGTGCAGTATGATTGCAGCAGTTCACCCTGCCGAAAAATGTTCACACGCACATGATTGTACTTCTCTCACAGTATATTTACTAACACATCATTTCAGACATCAAAACACCTATCTCTATATCACAAGCGCTTATCCAGTCTGGTGTACAATAATAACTCGTTCAGGAAAATATTCACTTCTCAAGGCATGGTCCAGTGAGGGAGTGAGATTGTTTTTATTAAACATAACCTGAGGAGGCGGAGAAGGGGCCATTCCGACCCTTCATTCAGCCTGGAGGCTTCGCCCAGGATGGCGCTAGCAGCCGATGCTTGTAGCGATGTCGCGGGTCCTCTGGACCGCCTGTAGTTACTCCACCAACTTCGACTGACAGTACTATATATAAACAGCTTCCTCCACAAAATAAGTTGCTCCAGCTCACTGGAATGCCACTGTGGACCAGAAGATGGAAATGTTGGTCACATTCATTTGGAGTGCGTAAAGAACGCAAATTTGGTACGTTATAAAGGATTTCATTTAAACATCCAGAGAAGTGCCACCCCTGGAAGAGAAACATTCAAAAAGAAACTAGCAAGTTTGGAGAAACAGCCCCCCCCCCCCCCCCCTATAGTAAAGAAAATACTTGGATGATGCCCTCCTCAAGAGCAACGAATACAAGCAGGGCATGAGCCAAGTACTTTCTTTATTGTGGGGAGCCAGCTCTCCAAACTTGCTGGTTTCTTTTTTTAAATTTTTCTCTTACAGAGTGGCACTACTTCAGATGTTTAAATAAAGCTCTTCATACCGTACCATATTTGCGTACTTTACGCACTTCAAAAGAAAATGACCACCATTTTCATCTTCTGGTCCACAGTGGCATTCCAGTGAGCTGGAGCGATGTATTTTGTGGAGGAAGCTGTTTGTATATGGTACTGTCAGTCGAAGTCGGTGGAGTAATGGCTCAAACTGTTGCGGGAGATCTATCACTATTGAAAGTTTTTGGTGCGGATCAACTTCATAAAGAAACGATTGCTTTGACTTGAGGTCCTTGCATTATAATATTTCTAATACCCAGCCCAGACATTGCAATTGCACACTCCGTCCTTTGTCTAAGCCTTGCTTGGCGAGTATGTCTGCCTCTTTATCACCTTTAATTCAATACGAGTGGGCACCCCTTAAATTCAATGTTGCGACCCTGCGCCCAGGCATATTTCACAATTTCAGCAACACAATCTGCGATTACACCTACTTTTTGAGGTGACCTCGCACGTTTGATTATATGAATGGCGGCTTTGTTATCCGCGAATACTACCCACTGCCGTGTCCCTTGAATGTCGCAGATAATATTCCCAGCTTCCTCAAAAATAGCCGCTTATTTTGATATCGTCGGTGAAGATTTGTGCGAAAATATATACATTCTCCTTTTTTGAGTTCTTGTATAAAGAGCACACAGGCCGACGCTTCTTCTGTGCAAGACCCGTCTGTATATTTATATATCTTCATCTTTCCATTGGTCTTTCTATGAAAATTATCAAGCACTTTCTGTACCACCGCTAGAGGCGCCATGTCCGCTTTCTTGGGAATGCCATCTAACGCTCAGAACCAGCTGAGTCCTAGGTGTTTTTGATGATTTCCGTTGTTTATATGCTGGTACCATTGCTTGAAATGATGACACACTGTCCTGTAGCTGAGTTACCGTCCCGTGTTTCGCTTCACCAAATAAAGGATGGCTGTGATACTGTGTGAAAATTCTAAATCAATTTCTAGGTGTTTCTCGTCATCGCAGTACTATCCAAGGTGGTTGTCGAGCTTCTGCATACACCAAATCTCTAGAAGACAACCATGGCAACCCAAGACAAATGCGCAGCCTTTTTGCATATAGAAAATGATGTCTTCTTTCGGGGCAGGCTGAAAGTCCGTGCAGCGGAAGCAGGGAGTAAGTCGCCATGAGGCAGATCCACGCAACTTGTAGGACCCACAGCGGCTCCGTATTACCTCCCCATTTAGCCGCGCAAAGATGACAGAGGATTCGAATGGCTTGATTCAGTTCTTGTTCAAGAGACTGAATGTGAGGTGGCCGTATTAATCTTCAGTCTGAAATCATGCCTCAAAATGTATATGTTTTACCATTTGAATAGGCTAGTTTTGCAGAATATTCTGGAAATATCCAGGTTTTTTTATTGTAAATCGTAGTATGGCTGTATTTGCCAGACTTAAGAGTCACACCTCTTCTTGTAAAAAGTTGGTGTACATATTCTACTCCATCTTGTGAAGTTTGTTGTATATGCAAACACGACGGACCACATGTCCATATACTTATATCATTAGCATCTACTGAACATTTGGCGTTAGGGTGAAGACTGTATGGAAGCTGCGCCATGGCTGTATTAAAGAGAGCGTAGGAATCAGCATGCTGCCCTTTGGCACTCCTTGGTTGACTACATGTTCTGACGTTGGGCCCTCCTGCGCAACCACAAAAATTTCGTGGTGATTCAGGAAGTCAGTGATCCGACGCAGGATTTTTTCCTTCAATTCTTGCAAACGCTAGACCCTCTAAAACATGAACGTGGGTTACTGTGTCATATGCTCGTCGGACATCAAGAAATACAGCAACAGTGATGTTTCCTCGTTTACGTTGGTTTTCCACATCTCGTACCAAGTCCAAAATGCAGTTATTTGGGATATACCGCTTCTGAAGCTGACTATGCTTTCTGGTAGTGTTTTTTTATGTCTTGCCACCATAAAACTTGTTCATTGGTCATTTTCTTTGTTACTTTTAAAATACGACTTGTATACTTTGCTACCCGAAACGAGGGTGCTATTCTGGACACTGTCGAATTCCACCATATTTTCCAATTACGTAATGGTGGCATTTTAAGCCAATGAGAGAGGTCGTGGCCGCTCACTTGGTCAATCAGCGTTGATCAATGGCGAAATCTGACATTATGGGGGAATTCGACATTGTCCAGAATAACAACCAGAGATCAACTTCACAGGGCTCTTTGCTGACTATAGCTACGGTGACGCCTTTGATACCATCCAAATTTCTCGAAAAAATTCTTCTTTCCAACTTTTTTCAATTGTCTAATAGGTGTAATTTTCCTTTCTCACGCAAATCAGCAAGTTTGGAGAAAGTAACCCCATCTGGTCCTGTTGAACTTGTTCGCTTCACTGAAGACAACATTTAATGGAGTTCCTCTGGTGTGAAGTTGCCACCCCAAGTTTTTTTTTTCATTCACATACCCTAAAGACCCATGCCAGGCAATACATAAGGGGGGGTGGGATACAGTAAGCGGGGTGAGGGGGAGGCTACATTGGAACAAATATACAGTTGGTAACACCGGCGTAAGCAAGGAATATAACAATGAAACCCTATCTTGCACAAAGCAATTCAGAAGGTTTACATATACAGATGAAATTTTTTAAGCAATAGGGAGTGAACTTTTCGACATTTCTACAATCACCTAGTGGTTTTTCACACACACAATATTGTGTGGTAAATCGTTCCAAACACGGCTTTAGCACAACAGAGGCAATAGTATTAAGAGATGTTGAAACGCGCATATAGAAATAAAACACTGAAGGCGTGGTCTAGAAGTGACAGTTAGCGATGGGCAGGCAATAAGTACTTTTAATAATGACGACTGATTATAATAAAGTTGGTGAAAATGAGTCATCAGGGCCAAAAATCTCTTTTTCTCAATTAATTGCAGACTCAGTATGCTTGGATATTAGCGATGTTCGAATGACGTAAGTAGTTTCTGGTTAAGAATCGAACATCTTTACTTTAAATGGATTGAAGTTTGTGTTTTTAATATATTTTATGTGGATTCCAAATGAATTAAGCATATTCTGTTTTAGACCGAACAAGCGAGATGTATGCTGTAATTTTTGCATTCCAGTTTGCTTGATGTAACCAGCGCCTATAATGAATACAAATGCTCTCTATGCTTTAAAAGTTATTGCGTCAATGTGGGCATTCCATGACAGGGTCGGCGAAAAGACGGACGCCTAAATACTTTACTGATGAAACGTGTTCTATTAGCAATGCATAAATCATGAACTTGGCCCACAAAGCTTCGTTACAACCAATGAGGACGATTTTTTTGGTGATTTATATTAACTCATTTGGACGGCCACTCCATTTCTCAATATTGGATCGCACAATTCTTCGGCAATAATGCGTTCCCTAACTCCTCGAGACAGCGCAAGAGCCTGGAATTGTCTCGATATGTCGGAGGGAGCCTAGCATGTTCCAAAATTGAGTTGATGTAGTAAATGGAAAAAGGGAAGCGCAGGTATCTGGCTACCTTTTCGTCAAAAGCTTCTGCAGTTGATTTTCCATAGCAGAATATACTTTCTGGGAAACCTTGACATCTTCCAAACGTTTCGATCTCCAATATTTTCTTTCAAATCTGCGTCGTATTGCACGACAACGCCCTTACCAGCGTCATCATTCGCAGAACACTCTTGATTTGTAATGCACGAGTAGCTTTCGTTTATTTTACCTTCGCTGCATAATGAATACGTTTCTGCGTCATAACAAGACTCAAGATTTGGCCCCTGTGTAGTTTTTTAATGACTGTTCAATTTGTAATTCTTCTTATTAGGTTACCTTTCTTTTTATTCAACTTTAAATATACTATAAATAGCATGAAAAAGGATTGCTGATCCTCGTTATCGTTGTATAAATAAAGGTTATGGTAACTCACGGTTAAGTTCCAGTGTGACGGAGACCTCCATGGGAGTGGACACGTTGTTGGAGGAGACGCACGTGTACGTGGCCATGAGGTCATTCCTCTGCAGGGACGACAGTGTCAGTTTGGACTGCTTTACGTCTCCCGCGACTGAAGTCAACGTCTTGGTTGGGAAGTAGCTGCCGTTTCGCTTCCACGTGAGCACTGGAGAAGGCTTTCCTGTACGTAGAAATACCATCAACTTAAATGGGCTGAAACCTCACCATCGCGAGTTCACAGCGTAGAGGAGTGGTCCTTACCGCCATATTATGTAAAACACAAAGAACACAGTCTCATGGACATTTATCCACATGAATTTGTCCCAACATTCTCGATACCACTCGCATGAGTGCAAACCGCGAATGTTCTTTTACATCGTGTTCAAAATGCCAGTTTTTATTAATAGCTGTATATCAATTTTAGTAAATATATTAATTAGATGCTTGCTTGAACCATCCTAATTGGCTTACATACACTAACTACCACGGGTAGGGGAAGAGACTCTTTTGGAAGACAGAACATGCAGAAACCAGTAGGTATATTCATCTTTATTTTCCAGTTGTTCATAACAAGCAACGCAGAAAACCGATAATAATAAAATCAAGACAGAAGTTTAGCGTTGTACTAAATATGTATCGTACGAGCGATATATGTTTTTCGGTACAGGTAGACGCCCTGTACTTTTCAGGACCCATTCACTTTGAAGCTACTACTCGTAAGGGTTCGTGTTTGTTTCGTATCATTTGTCGACGTATCTCTTCTTGTAATATAAGTAGAATGACAACTGTATTTCATGTTTGAAGAATTCAGCATTTTTTAGCAAATCAAGTATTTTTTGTCCATAATATTCATATAAAACTGCCACAAATATCCCGCATACAAGCAGTATTCTGGTTCAGTAGTCTCGTATTTGTGTTTGGTTTATTCTCGTAAAAAATCAGTGTCCCGTATTAGTGTTGCCTTGATTGAATTTGAAATCGTTTATTTTTACCAGCTTAAGATATCTAGGTTGTGGTAATATAACAAACAAAAGCCGTCCTTGGACAACATAAATACCGTACAACCCTTTCATTTCATTTCGCAATGAAGCAATATTACGCGCGGACTTATATTCCTTGAAGAAGGCCGTAAAAAATGAAACTGTACCATTCCTAGTTGTTTAATTATGTACGTGTTGTGTAGTGAAGCCTTTGTGTTGGTTGTTTGACCGCGATGCTTGTATACTAACCAACCCTCTAAAGGTTTGGGAGCATGATTTGGAGCTTTTTTTTATTTGAGTGAGACTTCGTTGGTTGTTGATACTCCGACGCTTTTTTTTGTTTGTATATATGACTGAAACGTTATCTGTACAAATTACGTACCGGGATTATGCCTAAATTGTTTTAAACAAAGTTATAGTTGATGCTTGTTAACATGCGCGGTACGCGTGGCAGGGATATTTTTTTCGTAACAGGTAAATAAATTCCAGATTGGTGGGCATTGTTGCACCCGATATTGTTTGATAATAATTCAAGTTTGATTGAAGAAAGTCCAGTGTATAATAAATGTCTATTACATTTAGAGACAATGTAGCGTAAACGACCTTCTGAACACGTTATTTTGGTTACTTTTATAAGGACGCAATTAACATAATTATCTTATGAGATGTTTGCTGTGATGATGACACCCAGACATTTAAAAATTCTTGGTAGTTCAAATTACATGTATAATACAACATGTCTTGTTGTGGAGGCATTGACTTTTTTGTTGGTTTAAATATGCCTCCATCTGTCTTGTTCACATTTATATTAATTCGATTTATGTCGCCCACACATCTACATTTTTGCTTGTAATGTTACACTCTTACACTAGGTCATGAGTATTGTGAGCATTTGCGATGTGCTTCTTCTCATCTATACATTATCATAATTATCATGATCCATCTGGATTTCTGTCCTGTTTTTCACCGAGTGTCACTGCCAGCATCGCAGGGTGTGCGCGTACTCTGCCTCAGACTGCCCGTTCGCTGCTGGGTTCATGAGGTGAATAAGCGCTGTCTGAACCACCTTACCGCACTCTGCCAAGATGCTCCGAATGCCTTCTACCCGTCACACTAGCACTGCCCCACTCGGTATTCTATTACTTCGGAGATCGCAGCCACATTTCTTGTTTCTGCCAGAAGTACCAGCAAGGCGAGCCTCGCAGCAGCGTCTGACCCTGCCCTGAACACAGGTAGCCCAACAGACCCTCCCGTACTGGCTTCCACATCTCACGATGCTGCGTCAGTGAGAAGGCAGACCTAAACCCGGATGCATGTGGCGCACCACCAAAATCCACTGAGAGCATGGCGTCATAAAGAGGCAGCCAGCAAGATGACCAGAAGGAACAGAAGAAAACGAATAATCGTTGTCGTATATGCCGCAAAAAGGTCAGCCTCACGGGCTTACTGTTTCCCTGCGAGGGTCTCTTTTGCAGCCTCCACAGTTATTCGAACGATCATGACGGTAGGTTTTACTAAAAGGAAAAGAGTGCTCAGGAGATCCGAAAGAACAATCCTATGGCCATGGGGGACAAGATCTAGAAGACATAAGGGCCTGCATCACATGTAGAATTCTGCATCTTTTATTAAATTTGGGGCCGTGGGAAAGAGGTCATGCGCTCACAAGAAGAAGCACATAACGAATTCCCACAATATCATTACCCCTGAAAAGAACAGTCGTGTCATACAGGTAAACATTAAAGTTTCCGTCAGGGTTAATATTCATGATATCGTTCAGATAAACCTTGAAAAGTCGAGGCCCCAAAAATACTTCCCTCTGGTACTTCACAGTGGTTGGATATGGCATTAGATGTTAAAGTGTGTATATCAGGGGCACATGTAGCAAAAACATTGACTTCGAGATACTAGAGTTGAAGCGAAAAAGAAGCTTACTTTATGTTTTCTTTGAAAAGAAGGTATACAAATAAACCTAATTTTAGCTTCTAAGTTACTTTTCAGTTCTCTTTGTTTTCTGGCTTGCTTTATCGCTTGATTTCTCCAATCACAGTCAGTGGCAGTCAATCTCACCCGATCTTATAACGCTCTTGTGCCTTCGTGATATGCCAAACGGCATTGAGTAGACTTAATGAGGCCACACAGTCGCTTGTGAAAGCTAGATTCATTTCAAAAGGGGTATTTATGAGGATTCATGTTACACAAAACACAATTTATTCTGTCCTACACGAGTGCCACGTTGCTTTCGCAATTTGTGCAGACACAATTGCTAGTAATCTTCGTTTGTACTAGTTTCATAACCATCAAAGCGTATCCATTGCCATACCAGGCGTCTTATCATCTTTGAGGCTACGATTTATGAGAAAAAAAATTGGCAGATCCCGCGTACAGTGGGAATGAGTGATATGCAAAGCACGAATGAGGAAAGTTGATATGTCCCTTTAAAATCAACGGAACATTACGAGGTGGACGTACGTTATGCTGTACATGACTTCCATCTAATGAATATCATGTTCGAACATGTCATTTGCTTTCGTCATCTATTCACGTCACCTGAAACCTAATTTGGTACATGTGGAGCTAGTGAACTGGCCGTAACTGGGCTATGAGCGTAGCCTGTAGTCAAGTTTTAAATCACACGCATATCATAATTAATATGTTTGAACCTCTCATTTACATTCGTCGTGAATTCACGTCAAGTAATACCAAAATTGGTACATGTGGAACTAGTGAAACGGTCGTGAGCACGCTACTAGCATAGCATGCAGTCATGCTTTACATAACACGCATATCATGATTGTCATGTTTGGACATGTCATTTACCTTCGTCATCTATTGACGTCATGAAAGACCAAATTTGGTATCATTATCATCATCGTCATCATCAGCCTGACTACGTTCACTGCAGGACAAAGGCATCACCCATATTCAGCCAGTCAACTTGTTTATACCCGCAAACTTCTTAATCTCATCTGCCCCCCGAACCTTCTGTCTCTCCCTTACCCGCTTGCTTTCTCTAGGAATCCAGTTAGTTGCCCGTAATGACCAGCACTTATCCTGTCTATGTGCTACATGCCCGGCCCATGTCGATTCGGTATGTGTGTAGCTAACGAAACGGCCGCGAGCGCATCAAGAGCGTGGTTTATTGATTGATATGTGGGGTTTAACGTCCCAAAACCACCATTTGATTATGAGAGACGCCGTAGTGGAGGGCTCGGGAAATTTCGACCACCTGGGGTTTTTTAACGTGCACCCGAATCTGAGCACACGGGCCTACAACATTTCCGCCTCCATCGGAAATGCAGCCGTCGCCGCCGGGATTCGAACCCGCGACCTGCGGGTCAGCAGCCGAGTACCTTAGCCACTAGACCACCGCGGCGGGGCAAAGAGCGTGGTTGATTGTCATGTTCTTATATGACACGCTTGTCATGATTATCATGTCTGCACCAGTCATATACTTTCATCATCTATTCAGGTCATGTAAAGCCAAATTTGGTATATGTGGAGCTGGCGAAACGGCCACGGGCGCGTCATGAAGAGCCCAATAATTTTCGACGCAACGTTGACGCGCCTGCGTGCACGCTGGGCGCAGCGACGCTACGCTATCAAAACGCGAGCATGCCGCAAACGTTTGCACATGACACTACACGGCTGCTATTGCTAGATACCACATCGAGACAACAATTATATGGTTTCCATGAACGTCAACACAGCCCATCGATAAAGTACGCAGCTTCATGTCAGCAGAATGAGACTTACATCGAAGCATACGTCGTACACGGTATTATCACGGATGAGCCGAGAAATGCATTTCGCAGTGACTCAAGTGTCCTCGTGTTCCGTCGTCTGCTCCACATCATAAACTTTACTAACAAACTTGACTCCTTTTGTTACATTCGCTTCTCGGAAGTGCTTCTCCAGCTCAGAGATCTTTATGTAGCCACACTGCAGGTGATACATTGTGAGGTGACCTAAACGCAGCGCGTGCTCTCTGAACGAGCACGCAAGTGAGCTGCAGCGAGTTGAAGGGAAGACAAAACGCGCGATATGCATCATTGATTTCTACTTTTCTATTAAAGAAGGCGCTGCCTGTCCAGAATCGCAGCGCCACCATGCGTTGCTTTGGCTTTCTTATGGCAGACAGATCAGCGCCTGGTGTGGAATCGCCGGCGTGACGCTATGAAACTGACGCCGGCGCGCACTCGAG